ATCTTATAATCTTTATCTTTTTTAAAACTCGTATATTGTTTTTTTTTTGCAAAGGATCCTCGTATTCGATGTGTTAAACAAAAATCTCTTGACTTATTAACAAATGTAACAACAATAAATGAAGTTGGATATATTATTCTTAATCATTATTCACAATTTCTTATTCAACTTCTACAAGGTATACGTGATGGACATTTAATTGAAGAAAAAATTCCATCATTATCTGTTCTTATACGTTTATGTAAAGTTATTGTTGAAAAAAATCTTCTTAGTTATTATCAACATTTAATTGATATGCAATTTATTGATATATTAATTGATCTATTTGAATATCAACAATATAAATCAAATGATTTAATTATTTATTTTATTAAATTTGAATCACTTGCACTTCAATGTCTTTATATTATATTACAATGTGCTGAACATGTTGATATGTGGTCTGAAAGTATATCTAGAATAATAATAAAGAATTCATATTTTTCTTATCATGTTTTTCTTTTTTTGTTTTGTTTTATGATAGAAGCTCAAATACGTCTAGTGAATTATTGTTGTACACTTTTGTATAAATCAATTTTGGATAATGATAAAGATGATTATTCACAACAAATAGAAATAAATCATATAATTTATGCAGAACAACATGAAATAATTCATTCATTAGGTTATAGTATATTAATATTTTTAAGTATTGTTCGATGTCGAAAAGAAATTGGAAGATTTTATCGTGAAAATGAACATTTTAGAGAATTACTTAATGCTATGAAATATAAATATCATTCTCGAAATGAATATTTATCTCGTAATTCTTCAATTTCTTGTGCACTTAATCAACTTGTTAATACTATGTTTGATCGATATGAACGAAAAAAACGTAGAAATTATCATCATTTATCTACAAAAGATTATCCACGTCATCATATTCAAGATGAAGATGAAGAAAATGATGAAAATCGACAATATCAAAAATATTCAAATTCTTTATGTCAAATGATTGAAAATAATGTAAGTTATTTTGTTATTTGAACTTTAACTTTATTGTTTTTTCTTTTTTTTTTTAAGCAAATAAAATTTGAAGATTATCCTAATTGTCATAAATTTGGTTGAGATAATCTACACACAAAAATCGCCATTGCATCAAAGTGACATGTAACCTCTATATATGAAAGAACGTTTTGTGTCGTGAACGAAGGATATAGGCTTTATGTATATTATCATTTGAATAAAATAAAAAAGCAAATATAACAATGTTTTCGTTTTTTGGATTTCAATATGATATGAATACAATATGTCACAAATAATAAGATATTAAAATGAAATATATAAGCACTGACTTGTTTAAATAAGCTTTTTGTCAAATTGTAATGCACATAAAATAGTACTTCATTTATTATAAAGGATCAAAAACAAGTAAATATTATCTTTTCTCGTTTATCATATTCTATTTTATAAATCAAAAAGAATTTTCATAATACAATACCGATTAAAAATCAGTTCACTATTAGAAATAGTCTCTTGTTCTTGTAAACAACGTATAATATCTATTACATCCAATTTATTTCAATTCGGATAATTAGATTACTCATAACTTTTAATCTATATACACCAAGTCTTTGCAGAAACTTATCATTCAATATTCAAGTGGTTTTAATAAGGAGGAAACAACTGATTTATGATTTTGTGATTTAAGATGAGTTAAGTTGATTTAAGGTGATTTACAAATGATTTTATTTTGATTTTCACATGATTTAAATCAGTTGTTTCCTCCTTGGGTTTTAAGCAACTGAAGAGAAAAAAATAGTCAGCTAGACTGAGCAATTCATGTACTGTCTCTCTATATATTCAGATTTCTTTTTAACTTAAACTATAGCATTAAGAACAAAAATATTAAGAAGGATCTGAAGCGATTTCTGTTCAAAATTGTAAACTAGCAGGTTTTTATACATGCATCTACTTATGCTTCGAATGTCTAGTTGCCATTGAAGATAACCAAAACGAATGAATTATCGGGTGTTCCAGAAATAATCTTCTAGCATATTTTGTTTTTTTTAAAAACATATTAGGTGATAAAACGATAAAATAAAAAAAAAGGAATTTTCGTTCGTATAAAAAAGATAATTTTTTTTCACAATAGCAAAAATTGGTCACATAGAGTTTTGCTATTTTTTGAAAACAAAAAGTGTACAATTAAAATAAACTTTAGTTTCTAAATTGTAGAACTTTTTACGCTGCATCATGCCGTATAGTTTGCTTTTTTAATAGAACGTATTTAGAGATTAAAATATGAAAAGTAAAGTGCGGCCATTTCTTATGGGATACACGTTATTTACTTTTTACAGCTGCTTGTATGTCTTTATTTTTCGTCTTTTTTCAAATATATCTCAAAACAATTTTTAGGTCTAGTCATATATGGTTTTGTAGAGAATTTCAAGTGCTATCTTTTAATAAAGAAAGTATTTTAATCAAAGCGATAATGGAGGAGAAATA